AAATTTGATAGTCAAATATTTGTTAATACTTATATTTAAATCAGATATCAAACCAAAAGAGAAAGATATAGTCCAAGTATTCGATATATCTAAAGTACACAATACAGAATCACGGCCTGTTAAATCTACTAATGTGGATACCCGAGACAATACTTCGAAGATAGATATTATAGAAACTATAAAAGACAGAGGCAAAGATACAGAGGCTTCAAAAATCTGTTATACTCTTTGGGACATACCAGCAAAAGTTAAAGCAATGAGAGTGCGAAGATGTCTGCATTTTTATAGTTGAGTACAATTTAAACACTAGGAATTTGTAAGAACAAAGAAAGCCGTCTCCTTCAACATAACTTTCTGGAATGAGAGAAGAAAAGCTATGTTTACAAATGCCTGGGCTGTGCATTTCGAAGAGGGTAAGATGCTAAGATTATCAGAAGAAGTATTCGACAGGTCCATTCTAGATGAAAGAGGAAGATTTAAAGTGATTCTAAAAAATATCCCAAAGACAGCTCTCGAAACTATGCTGCTAAAACAGTTAAAGCCAGTCAGAGTGCAAGCAGTGTATATTTCACACAACCGGAACAAAAATCAAAGAAGCACAACATCTGTGGTTTTTAAATCAGAAAAAGAGCTACTAGCAGCACTGGCAAAAAGAATATATTACTACAATACAAGACTAGAATGGAGTACAACAGACAGTATAAAAGAAGAATCCAACAGTTTCGCCTCCAGCAAAAGAGGAAGATCTAGGAATCATTCACTTAAACAGAAAAGAAAAAGTGCAGCAGAGAGAAAAAAAAATTCTTATACTTAGAATAGAGATAGCAAAATCAAAGCAACTAACAAATTAGATCCTCCTGCTTCATTATTGAACAAAAGAAACAAAAATAAGAAGAACATAAAACCCAACTACAGAAACTACAGTGAGGGGGCTTTGAAGAGTCAGCCAACTCATGAGGATACGGTTCAATCCATGCTACTGCAAATTATAGGCAGACTGGACAAGCTAGAAGGTCAAGACAGCTCATCTCATAGAATATC